GCCGCAGCATAAAAAAGGTTGGGACCACTGCCCTACCACTTCAGATAAATGGTTGTCCAGTCTTTTTTTGAAAGCCTCCAGTGATGGAGCTCCATCACTAACAATTTCTTGGTTTATTGCTCTCACCATTAGGAAATTTCTCCTTAGTTTTAGGTTGCTTCTCTCCTTGATTAGTCTCCAACCATTGTTTCTTGTCTTGCCTTTTGATGCTTTGGGCAATAGTTTGACCTCATCTTTGTAGGAGCCTTTCAAATATTGGAACAATGCTATCATGTCACTCCTGGTCCTTCTTTTCATTAGACTAGACATAACCAATTGCTGTAACCATTTTTCATACTGTATGTTTTAGCTTCCAGCCCTCTAATCATTTTTGTTGCTCTTCTATTCACTCTTTCCAGAGTCTCAACATCTTTTTTATATTTTGGTGACCAGAACTGGATGCAGTATTCCAAGTGTGGTCTCAGTAAGACTTTGTAAAGCAGTACTAGAACTTCATGTGATCTTGATTCTGTTCTTCTATTAATGCTACCTAGGAGTGTTTTGGCTTTTTTTTTTTTTTTTTTTGCTGCTGTTGCACACTGTTGGCCATAGTTAAATAATTGTCCACTAAGACTCCAACATCATCTCAGTGTTTTCTTTTTGCATGAAGACAGATGTAAAATACTAATTAAGCATTTCTGTTTTTTCTCTACTGCCTGTTATTTCTTTGCCATCTTCTCCCATTAGTAAAATAATTGTTTGACTTTTTTCTTGGTTTTTGTGTTGAAGGAAACTTTATTGTTTCTGACATTTGTTGCAAGTCTTACTACATTCAAAGCCTTAACTTCATCTTTGCAGATTCAAGCTATTTGTTGGTATTCTGCCTTAGTTATGTGTCTCTTTCCATTTTTTGTACTTGTCCTTTTTCTCTCTGTTGGTCTGAGAGTTCTTTGTGCAACCATGCTGCTTTGTTCTTGGTTTTCTTATTTTCCTTTTTAGTGGTATTGAAGTGGACTGGGCTTTTATAATCATATTTTTCAAAGTTTCTAAAGCACCTTGAGTTGATTTTCCCTTTTAAGATTTTCATCCATGGGATCCTTCCCAAGGTCTCTCTGGATTTGTTAAAATCAGCTCCTTTAAAGTCTAAAACACTGGTTTAATTATGTTCTATTGCTTATGCCTCTTTTATATTTAATTCTATTATGACATGGTCACTTTCTCCCAAAGTTCCTGCAACATGTACCCCTTCTATGTTAAGAATAAGGTCCAATATAGTTGTTCCTCTAGTTTCCACCTTTACCTTTTGACTGATGAAGTTGTCAGCTAGGTTGGTCAGGAATCTGTTTGATCTCTCATTTGTTGCAGAGTTTATTTCCAAAATTTATTAGAATGCATGATTCTAAATTTTGTAGTCATGACACTCAAAGGCCTTTTTCTGAGGCCTTCATTGCCATTCTACCAGATAATGATTCTTCCGCCATTTCTGATTGATTTTCACAGATAAGATATCATTTTTCAATGCCTTCACTATCCATGCTAAGGTAGCTCCTGGACCTATTGTCATTAGTTAATTGTAGACCTGCTTTTCATTTTGTTTCTTGATGCCATGGTCATCTTCTTTCAATCCAACTTTCTTCAAAATATATTCAGGATATAGAATGAATTCCTTCATTCTATATCCTGAATATAGAGAGTATACAGTCTTGTCTCAAACTTTTTCTGACCTTGAGCCAGTCTGTTTCATCATGTTCTGTCCAAGGAAATAACTTATAAAGCAGATTTATTAACATCACAAACATGGGTTCATCTGGGTCATTTTACTACATTCAGATACATTGGAATTTGTCTTGAGGATGTCAAATATTATAAGACTTCAGGCAAGTCTATAGCAGCAATAGTAGCACTGTTTTTTTTACCATGTTTGGAAAATATTAGATACTTCTAGATCCTATTCTTATCCATACGCTATGTTTAAAATAGATAAAATCTTCATTTAAACAACAAAGATTAAATAAACTTCAAACACATTTTGATATACATAGAAAGTTCCATTCAAATACAATCAATAACTTCCTTCATTGGCTAAAATCTGAATAAATCAATTACAATTATTCACAAAACTATTCATTTAAAAACTGATTAGTATAAGCATTTTATAAAAATGAATCAATTGCCAGAAAATTGGTTCAATGACTTTATAATTAAATAAAATAATAATTCTTCCACTTTGTTTCTTACTGCTACAAACTTTGATTCCATATTTAAAAATATGAGCTGCGGTCTCTAGATTGAAAGACTGTCCACTTCCCATTTTTCCTTCAAAAAAGAACCCTGTGAGGTGGGCTGGGCTGAGAGAGTGGCTAGCCTAGTGTCACCCAGCCAGCTTTCATGCCTAAGGTGGGTACCAAAACTCATACAGATGATGACTCAACTTATGACCATTAATTGAGCCCAAAATTTCTGTTGCTGAGTCATTTATTGAGTTTTGCCCCATTTTACAATCTTTCTTGCCACAGTTGGTAAGCGAATCACTGTAGTTGATTATTAGTAATTCAGTTAAGTGAATCGGGCTTCCCTACTGATTTTGCTTGTCAGAAGTTCACAAAAGGTGATCACATGACATTGGGACTGTCCCATAAATATGAACCAGTTGCCAAGCATATGAATTTTGATCATAGGATCACGAGGATGCAAAGATCATAACTGTGAAAAATGGCCATAAGTCACATTTTTCAGTGCCATTGTAAGTTTGAACAGTCACTAAATGAACGGTTGGAAGTCAAGGACTACCTGTAGTCTCTTGGCTTCTAGGCTAGCACCTTAATTATTACATCAAACTGTTTCTTTGTGTATACTTGCGTCAGCCCATCCACAAAGTGGATGTGCTATAGATCCTATCAATTAAAAGAATGTCATACTGCAAGATCCAGGAAGTGTACTCTGTTGCAATTCCTGCCCTCTGGAATGATGTCTTCTAGACATTTCTGTGACTCCTATCCCTTATGTTATTCAGGAAAGGTGATTTTGGAGCCTCCTTCTTGATTTGCTTTATTTTTATCTTATTGTTGAGATTTCTTTTTGTATTTTGCCCTTTGTCTTTATTTCTTTGAATATGTTGGTTTTTAGTTATAAGTTGCCCAAAATTCTTTAGGACTTTTCTCTGAAACCTAACTTTGAAGGCCTTTTGGATCTTTCTGGCCCAAACACAAAAATTCAGAACATACTTCATGTTCAACTAAAAATCAAGATATAGCCATGTAATTGCATCATGCAGCAAAGAAAATAAGGGACAAGAGAAGCTACGTATCTAATCCAAGCCTTTTGAAGCATTTGAGACATCTGGGAATGGAACAAACTACCTTATAGTAAGTTTTGCTCCTGTCTTTCTGAGCATTATCAGAAATATCATTTAGAGATTTCTGTTTGTCACCCTAGGAATGATTCAGTGGGAACGCACATTTCATCTTAACAGTCATGTTATTTATCATCTACAAGTAGGCGCCAAAGGACCATCCTAAATTTAGACTAAAGTGCCACCAGTAAACTCAGGAGTATTTCTCCTTTCCTGTAAGCTTTGCATAATAAACCATATGTTCCAATTCCTGGAGAAGAAGCAGTGACACAGGTGTTGCTAGTTTCAAGATTGCATTCTAGTGATACAGTCTTCTGTATCACTGATGAGGTGCCTGATCACTACTGTTTTGAAAAAGCTGTGTTGATTATTGACTGCTTTGGGGCTCCATTTAGGATATTCATTTAATAACATCTTACACAGTTTGAGTCCAAATTACTTGCAGGTTTGCCTTCTCCATCTCACATCTTTAGCAGGGCACCTTTTGCAATCCTGACACATGCTTAATATCAACAGCCATTCCACTTTTTATGTTGTGAGATAAACTATGGAACAATTTACTGTCATTGAGCTGCCCCAATTCTTACTATTTAGAATATTTCTATTACTTGTTTGCTATTCTGCATTTTACTTTATATAGATTATTTGTATGCTGCCTAAAATTTTAAAAAGTTGAGATAGCCAACAAATACATCTTCAATAAACAATCTGCTTACATATTAGACTTGTATGCAAAATCTGAGCTACTTCCATATAGTTCTTAAAGAATTTTAGCTCTAAATTGTCAGCAGATGAAATTAGTGTAATGAACTAGTATAATTAATTTCTGAGTTTGTCAGAAATTCAGCAACATCATCTTTCAGGTTAGCAGTGTTAAAAATACATATATATACGGTTGTTGTTTATTTGTTCCCATCTTCACCCCCTAAAAAAATATTCTGTGCTTATGCAATTTCAAAATAATAGCCTGACACATCCATCCTTCCAAGTCATCAATTAGTCTTAGAGCTACTAAATTAGCTTTGTTATCTTTTTGAAAGCTGATCTGGACCAAAAATCCAGTAGGTAGTGATTCTCAAGAGACTCATTAACAAAGCTGTTTATTAAAACAAATAAGCAACCACCCTTATTTTTTTTATATGTGGAGGGTGGGGGCAAGCAGAATGGATGACACTATTAGCCTCCCAGAGCCTCCAGGAATGGGTAATATGCAAGCACATAAATAATAGATCAAGTTTATAAAATGTCCAAGTTCGCACAATGCACCAAAACATTACACTTGATAGTAGCTTAACATGTGTGAAGCAAACTGTACTTTATAAGGACTCTGCCTCATCTTAATTTTGGCTTATTCAATAAAGTATAATTTTTTACATGAGTGAATTCCTAGATTGTTCTTAATCCATATAATTTTTGTTGCATTAATATGGAAATAAGGGAAAGAGTCAAGAAGGAAATATGAGCGACCACTACGAATATCTGCAGAGAAATAAGTTCGGTTACATCAAATCATATCCGCTCCCACCGTGTACAGGAAGACGACAAAAATGTAATATTCCCATAGATATGAGGAGCGCCGGTCCTGGGCACCTCTCTTGATGATAAAGGTCAAGTGTGTATGGAGAAGCTGACGGCTCGATCAAGGTACATTGTTGGACACCTTCCTTACCTTCAATGGCGATGACGTGCTCCCTGATCTGGTTTTGCAGCACTGGCTCTTCCACCCTTTCCAGTAACTCATAAATGGAGTAGATGTTGGGGTGCACCGATTCGAACCGATGGATCTCCGCCCGGATGGCCGCAGAATTCGCCAGCTGTTGCTGCTGTTGCTGATAGTTCATGGCGGGGTGACGCCAAAGCCTCTTCTATCCCCACCAGATCGACTGACCGCCGCTGGAGCAGGCAGCGAGCCAGCCCCTCCCGCGTTAGCCAAGTAGCCCGCTAACTAACCAGCTCCGCCGGGTCCCACCACTACCAGTTCATGTTCACGCCAATAAAGAAAGCCAGGCACCGTAAGCAAGGGCTGGGCGCAAAGGCCCGCCTCCATGAAGAAGAATCGGACAGACCCACCGACGTTCCCACCTCTCACGACCCCCAAGTAGACCAGGCTCCGAAGCCGCTACTGGGAGCGCTTGGCGCAACCGCAAAAAGCCAAGGGATGAGCTAGTCCTCCAAGAAGGTCCCCCGCCGCAACTGAGCCAGCCAACCACGAAAAAAGGATCGAATACTTCCCTTTGCTTTCACGCCGGACCCGCCTTCTTTGCGTCATGACGCTACTTTCCCACATACAGTAAAATCAAACCCCGGCGGAGTTAAGGATCAGTTGCGGAAAAAGTCCTCGCAGTTTTCTGGGAATTGTAGTTTCCGGTGGCTTTCCTACTTCCGGCAATTTCCTTTTATTCTTCTAGACCAGAGACTCTAAGGTCATGATGTTTAGTACGGTATCTGTCAAGGGTCGGTGTATTAGATTGTAATAATAGACTCCAGTTCCTTATGCACAGGCGACGGAGGAGAGGGTTTTGTGTAAATTTATAGTTCATCTGAGGAAAAACGCAGGTTAGGCTCAAGAACGGTGCCAAGATGCCATTGGCCAGAATGAGGATTTTCCTTGCAAAAGCATTCCAAATCTGTCAGATTGCAAAGGCATCTCCTGTGCACAGCCCTCTTCAGGTTACCCTACAATTTTTCAGTTGGATTCAGGTCCAGACACTGGCTGGGCCATTCCAAAACATTGATATTCTTCTGGGTAAGCCATTGTTATGTTAATTTGGAGGTATGCTTTGGGTCATTGTTATGTTGAAAGGTCAAATTCCTCTTCATCTTCAGCATTTTAGCAGGGGCATGAAGATTTTCAGCCAAAACTGATGGTCGGAACTGTTCAAAATTCCTTCTACCTTGACTAAAGCCCCAGTTGCAGCTGAAGAAAAACAGCCCCAAAGCACACTGCTGTTACCACCATGTTTCACTGTGAGTGTGGTGCATTTTTGGTGACGCACAGTGTACTTTTTTGCACCAAACATATTTTTTAGAATTATGGCCAAAACTTTCAACCTTGGTCTTATCAGACTACACATTTTCCTGCATGTTTTTGTCAGACTTCATGTAGGTGTTTGCTTGGATATTTTTCTTTAAGAAAAGGCTTCCACCCTATCCCACAGCCCAGACATGAACAATACAGGAGACTGTTGTCACATGTAGTACATAACCAGTACTTGCCAGAAATTCCTGCAGCTCCCTTACAGGTGTCTTGGCAGTTTCTTTGACCCATTTTCTTCTTGTTTTTTCCCCTCAATTTTGTAGGGACATCCAGTTGTTGGTAATGTCACTGTTGTTGTCTCACTGTTATTTTCTCCATTTGTTGATGGCCGTCTACTCCAGTGGTCGCCAACCTTTTGGACCTCAGGGACCACCAAACTCATAATTTTAAATCTTAGGGACCACTAACCAGTTCTGTGGGCATGGCCTAATTTGTGGGTGTGTCTTGGTGGTCATGTGACTGGGCATGGCTTGTATGTAAATATTACAAATATTTATATAAACATTGAATTTTTTATTAAAAAAGCAACCTTTACCCAAAATCAGGCAAAGCAGGCAGGCAGATTGAGTTGCTCACAGAATCATTCAGTGATCTATCTATCTGCCATTGGCTAGCTCAGTCTGTCACATAAAATTTGCTTGCCTTGAGTCTGCACTGAATAATAGAACCTTCAGTCCTAAGGGAGGTTCAGCTGTGCTTAAAAGCAGAGCAGAGGATCTAAAGACTAGCTAGAAAGCAAGAAATCCAACCATTTCCTGCTTCTTAGCTAATCTAAATCTCCCGGCACAGCAGAACAGCTGATGGTCGGAAGAAAAAAAACAGGAAAAATAGCAATTTAGTAGGCAAGTTTGCCGGGTAAGGAGTGAGTGGGCGGGGAGGGTTCCCGCGGGCCATGTGGGCAGCTCAGCCTTGTGTTCTCACGCAGCCTGGATTAATTGCTTTGGGTAGATGCTCTGGGTGTGACATTTCTCTGAGGCCCACCAAAATTTTCTCGCGGACCACCAGTGGGCCATGGCCCACCAGTTGGCGACTGCTGGTCTACTCTACATTGTGTTCCATGGTATATCCAATGCCTTGAAAATTATTTAGTACCCTTCAGACTGATACATTCCAATAATGAGATCCCCTTGATGCTTTGTAAGCTTCTTACAGACCATGAGTTTTGCTGTAAGAGGCAACTGAGTAAATGTCAGTAAGATCCTGCTAGAACAACTGAAATTTTATAGTTACTGAAGTAATTAATCCATCAAACCTTTTTTTTTCGTAGGGACTCTTTCTCTGTCTGAGCATTTCAAATGCTTTAATTGATCTCAGCACAAGTTTTTCTGCCTTTATGATGTCAGTATTTCTTCCTTGCAGTGCATTTGACAGAAGAGATATTTCGTTGAGAATATCGATCATCAATGCCAAATCATTTAAAATATATATATTTTAAAGATGGGTAGCCATACCAGAGTATTTTTCATTTGCATGAAAGTACTGATGTAGCGCTGGATAAGCACACAACACAACTAGGGTTGACCTTAAATTACAGGCAGCGCATCTTGGTCCCAAAACTCTACCAATCTTTACAGTTTCAATTCCAAGTTGTTTGGATTTTTCGAATAGTTAATTTTGGCTCTTACAGGATATAAGGAAAATACTGTGAATCTTGTCAATAAATATTTTGAAACGATTCAGTTGGTTAATGTCCTTAATGGAGTCATCTAAAACAAGTTGGAGGCGATGGTTTAAGCAGTGCCATATTATGATGTTAGGGAAGTTTTTTGGTATTCTAGTGCTCGCTCCAGATTTTCTTCCAAGCATAACACTGGCACCATCACAGTAAAATGCTATTAAATTCTTTTGCAGATAGTCTGTAGTAAACCCAACATTATGTAAACTTTCCAAAACTGAAAAACCTATTGTCTCTGCATCTTGTTTTTCCAATTCAACAAGCTCAACAAAAATTGTTGGTGGGTTATCTGAATCCTCAACTTTTACGAAAACTATCACAACTGGTTTGCATGATAGCGTTGAGGCTTCGTCAATAATTAATCATATTTTCAGGTTCTGTTCAATAATGCTAGTAAACATTTGGTTTTAATTTCTTTTGTAATGAAATCAACTATTTTCACTGTAGTTGACCATGAATGCAATCCTACTCCAAGATCTACTCCAATTACAGTTTGCAATTCTACCTGTCTTTCTATGTCTGAAAATGGTTTACATCTTTATGCCAGATTGTAAACTGTCAAAAATACTCTACAAGTAGTAGATAAATATTGGTCAGACATCTTATCTAGTGATTTTGTTATAGCATCCTGCTCCCCTTGTTTTACGTTATCACTGCAAATGGCATGAGCTTTAGATATAAAATCTCCTAAGAGAAGCTTGCTGAACTTCCTTAGTTGTCCCTGCCTCCTCAATCTTAAAATGTTTCCACTCCTTGGACACATGGACACCTTTCTCTACTGAAAAGTCATGTTTTGCACAGTACTTACAACCTAATTTTTTCTTTGAAACTTCTAGTCCCTCATATTTCTCTTGAAAGCTTCTATATTGCTGCAATGTCCAGCAGTCTGGAAGATCAGGAAGACTTTCAGCTTCGGAGATTGACTTGCTGCTTTCTCCAAGTGCAAGTGGTGGCAGTGGTGCTTGTGACCGTGACGGTTGTGGATCTGTTGTATCTAATTCTTTTTTTTTTTAAATAAAGTTTTATTGAGTTTTAACAAAACAAATAAAACATCTTATTTGAGTACAGCATGGTTCCGGGTTATCACATTTCCATAGAGACACAATTTCATATGCATATTCATCTTATTTATTCATATCTTATTACTCTTTTTCCAACTCCTCACTATTTCTCCCTTTACTTCTCTTAATTTTCTTTTATAGTTATCTCATTTTCTTCTTATTCAATTGTATTTCTTTTACCTAAATTTCTCTATCTTTTTATTCATTATACTTATACTTTCGTCTGTCTTGTTTACAATTTCATATGTTCTCTTCCAACATTCTTAAGAAGCAAAATTCCCCCTATGATTGCCAATCGAAGTGCAACACCTTTAAATCTTATTGTGATTATAATATGAAATCTCATTAAACATTGAATTTGTACGTTCTAAAATTATAACATTCAAATTTCTAATATCTATTTTATATCATGTAAATCTCATCATTCAGACTCTGCTTGGTACTTCCTCTTGAAAATGTAAAAAGAAAAATTCTAAAAACATAACAAAAATAATATATATATATAAACATTAGTAAACAAAATAGTTATTCAAATTCATTCTAGTACTGGTATGAGCCTTGTAAATCTTTCACGTTTCTTTTCAATATCTATCAATCTTTGAGAACAATTGAAATGTTTCCCTCCCTTCTTCATTATAACTTAACTGTTAATAGGCATACCATTGGATAGTCATACAGTTTTATCTTATAAATTATTTACTATTAATAAGCAAAATAATTATTCAAATTCATTCTAATAACTGGTATAAATTTCCTTATAAATCTTTCACATTTCTTTTCAATATTTTATCAATCTTTAGAAACAATTGCAATGTTTCCCTCTCTTCTTTATTATTGCATTAATTATAAAATAAGCATACCATTACATAACAATACAGTTTTATCTCATAGATTATTTACTTATTTCATTTCTAACTCATTACAGTATTCTACTGTGACAACACTATCTTTTGTACCTTTGCAGAATCCTTACTTTTAACTTAATTTAACCATTGTCAGCTGTGTTTTCTAGCTGAGCAAATACCTTTAATTCTAGTATGTTTCCCCTTTTTCTTTATTTCCTGCTTTTGTCCCTCATAAGTTCTTTCCCTTTCTATCTTTCCCCTCTTTTTCTCATCCCTTTTTTAATACCCTTCTCTCTCTAATTTTCCCTTCTGTAGTTTTCTTTTTTTGCTTCTCCTTGCTGTTATACTTCTATTTCAGACTATTTTTCTTTTTGGCTGTTCCCTTTGATCTCAAACTTTTAACTCCTTTCCCCCTTTTTCCCCTTATTACCACACTTTGCATTATTTGATCATTGAAAATGGCTTCTTCTTTGTCCCGCCCTTCTTCCGGCTCTTGAAGCTTTTCCTTTTGCTTTTCATAGTTGAGGATCTCCATTTCAAAAAATTCAAATACGAAACCAAAGGTTCATCCTCCCCTTTCTGCATATTCTTTCTGTTTTTTAAGACTCATCTTCAATTCCTCCATGAGTGATAGCATTTTTAACACTTTTGAACAACCACCCGATTGACTTTAAGTAAAAACAGAAAAAGAAAGAAAAAACCAATGCCCAAACCTTTTTTTTAAATCACCAAATGATCCCAGACTGTTCCTTCTTGTTTCTTTCCTTTACTTTTCCTTTCCATGGGTTACTGTATCTTTTAA